AATCCTGACTTGTAAAAAAAAATCCAAGTGGGTGTTCTGGAACTAATCTCTCCGGGCACTGAAAAGGCCTGTGGTCTGCAGTGCTCCCTGGACACTAAATACCTACTGACCTGTGACAAGAGGCAGTGTGGGGCTCAGGGTCCAGGGGGCAGAGCAGCCAGCCCCAGCTGCTCCCTCTCCCCCCTTCCCAAACCTTGCTCTGCTGGCATTGTGCAGGCTTGTCTGTCTAGCATGTGTGTCTGGAATATTACAGTGCATATGTGGCCGCCAAGGGACTGATGGCGAGTATGGTTATGTTCTAGAAGCTGTGTCTGAATCTCTCAGGCACGAATGTGAATGCAGAATGCAGACAATTGCGTCTGTGACTCCAGGCATCGCAGAGAGGGGATGCAGGATGGGAGCTTGTGTGGATGCCTGCAGAGCCTCATGCCTGCAGGGCCTTCCCCTCCCCACTCCCAACCCCCGGCTTCCCAGACCCCCCACAGTGAAGCCCCATCTGCTGGAGGCTCGGTGACCTGTGTCAAATGAGCAGGCGCTCGGTCACACTCCAGAGCCTGGAGGAAGCCAGGCCTCTCTGGGAAAGCCCAGACAGCTCCTGAGCTGGAGGTGAGCTGCACAGGGGCCCCCCACTGGTGTGGGGTGGGTGGGGCTGGGGGTCTCTCCGAGACTGGCAGCAGTCTGTCTTCTACATGGAGAGTGAAAAAATATGAAAAGAAAGGACTTTCCTGCTTCCTGGGAACTAGTGCTGCCAGCAAAGTATGTGCACCAGGCTCTGGACTGGCATGAGCCCCTCGACTCCTCTACCCTCTGATCCCTCACACAGGGTGTCAGTTCCTTCCCAGGGGGTGGGTGTATGTCTGTGTATCTATGCGATGTGGGGGTGGGCCTTGTATCTGTGCACTGTGTGTGGCTCCTCGTGACACGTGTGTGAATTGGGTGTACCCAGTTGTGTGGCTTGGCATGCCAGCTGACCACCTCCACGCCTGTGACCCCAATGACCTGTAGGCCTTTGTGTGTGTGTGTGTTGCTGAAGGAATGCCTACTTCAGCTGGTTTCCATCTATATGTGGACTATGTGTGTCTTCCCACTTAGACACATGCCTGTACTTGTCACCTGGAATATCCAACCTAAATGTGAGAGCTGGTTTCCCTACTGTGAATCTGTATGTTTATCCCTGTGCTAAATGGCATGTATCTGGGGGGAGGGGCATGCATTCAGGTGTGTGTGTGTGTGTGAATGCACATTCATCCATGTGCCCATAGGATTCTGTGTATGTGTGGGTCAGGTGGGTGTGCAAGTCCCGGCCCGTGTCCTCCCCAGGCTCGGTGACAGTGGGGTCTGGAGAAAGCAGCAGTTCTATGACAGTGTCTCTGCCAGTGGCTGTGTCACAGCCCCCAAAGTCCCACACAGAATCTCTGGAACTGGAGCAAGGAGCATGTCAACACTTCCTGGGGGAAACATTCCCAAATACAAGAAAATTTTGACTTAAGACCAAATCCATGTCATTGTAGAAGATGTAAAACTTCCAAAGCCAAGAAAATAATGTTCTCCTGTCCTATTCTACTTTGCTGCTCACCCCGGGGCAGCATCTGACCTTGGAAGGGCATCTAAGTTAAAGCTTTGTTCATCCTTGGAGCTTCAGTCCAATCCTGAGAAGCGGGCATTACTCTCTCCATTTTAAGCTGAAGAAACTGAGGCCCCCACAGGAAAAGTAGGAGTCCCAGTGGTCTTACACTACCCCCCAGAGATCTACCAGAAATAGGACAATGGGTTCTCTGCTGTGATGGCCAAAGCCATTTGCCTCCAAGGGCATCCTCCTCCATCCCATAAAAATGGCGAAAGTAAGGAACGGCCAACCAAAAATTCTGCACCCTGAGACAAGCCTCCATGCACTGGCACACAGCCACATGCTCTCCCCTAGGACTGAAAGGCACAGTGGTGGGTGTTAATGTACCGTGAGTCACTATTCACATCTCAGTAACAATTCCAAAGACTGGGCATCACAACACCTTCGACTGTCCTGACATCTCCCTTCCCTCAGCAGGAACTGAGAGAGAGTCACAGAATAACAGACTGCCTGAGTTGGAAGGGCCTGAAAGGCCAGCCCCACTCTAAGATGGGGGACTTGAGCTCTAGGTAGAGAGGAAAGTGCTTTGCCCACTCACTGGACACTAACAGAAACAACCAGAGAAAAAGTCCGTCCTGAGAGTTTGGGGGTTTTTTTTACCTCTGCTACCTCATCCACCTCGCTGACTTACCTTAGGGAGACAGGAGGGCTGTCTAGGGGACTGTTGTTCCCAGTTTACAAGTAGGAAAAACAAGAGCTAGAGAGACTGGACCAGAGTTATTCTTCCCCAGGAAGACAGTAGTAGGTCCAGGTTGGAAGTCCAAGCGTCAATGTCACAGGGGACTGGTGAGGGCTGCCTGAAGGAAGCGTGCACCACAGGACGCCCAGCCTTCGTTCCACCTCCTGCTCTGGAACAGGTCTGGGAAAGCAGTGGGCCAAGAGGTCCTGGGCTGTCTCAGGGTTACCACATCCAGGGCTGGAGCCCCGAGAAGCTCACGCTTCCCCATCTGGGTTCAGAAGCAGGCTTCTTTCATAATTCTCTCAGCAAGGGTGTTTCCTTCGGTGCCTGCTCAGGACAGTGGCCAGATGAGGACCCAGAACTGTCCCACTCCATCCCGTAGGGGCCAACCAGAGGTTGGTGCTGTGGTGTTCCAGGTCTGGATGAGCACAGTCTATGCCCAGGATGACCCACCCAAGCCCCTCTCAGGGTCACCCTCACTGTAGTTGTCATCCAAACCATCCCCCATCACCCTTGTTCACACACAGGACAGCTTGCCTAGCAAGGCCCTATGCAGGTCCCCAGCTCAGTTCTGTATTTGCATCCCCAGAGTCCTAGGAATCCGTTGGAGGCAAAGCAGGGGGAGAAAGAAGGTGGGCTGGCAGATGGAAGGCTTCCTGGAGCCCAAGCCTCGTGGGGAAGAAAGAGGTGGAGGCCACAGTTCACTGCACTCAGCCTCCAGCCCAAGGTGGGGCACCAACGAGCTGCTGGTTTGGTCTGAGTCTTCAAAGACATGGGGGATACCCCGAAGGTACCCAAGTTGCTCGCCTCACTTTTTCAGCAAGGCCTCCTCAATCTCAATTCCCTCTTCAGCAGTCCCTGGCTGGGTTATCCTCCAGCTCAGGGTTCCATGCCAGGCTGGACAGCTCCCGGCCTGCATTCTGGATTTCTGAAGTGTCAATCACCCTGCCCCAAAGTCCACGCCACTCCTCACCTACAGCAAGTTTCCTCCAGGCATGACCCCAACATGACCTCGACCTATGCGCTAGCCGGGCAGCAGGGACCAACAAGGGAGCAGTTGCGTGGGACAGTGTGTTCATGACCACTGTCGGCCTCGTTTTCCCTGGAGCCTCCACCTCGAGGTCTTCTCCCTCCAGAACCCCGGGGCAGCGGCCTGGTCACAGGAGTTGCCCCTCTCCCCGCGGCAGCGATGCGGGGCCGAGAATCGCCCGTGCTGTACTCACCTGGGCGGAGATGCCCGAGAGAACCGGCGCCTCTGGAGGCGTGAAGCTGGGTCCGTTTCCCACTCTGCCCGCGCCCGACGCGTCCTCACGGTCACCGAGGTCGGCGGAGTTGCAACGCAGGGTCTAGAGGAAGAAGAGGGGAGACGAGACGGACCTAGAAGGTGCACAAGCGGGCTCTGCGGCCGCTGGAAGCCACGGGAGGCGAGGCGGTCGGGGCGAGCAGCGGAGCCGGCACGGAGCCGGGAACCCGCGCGGCCGCCGGCTCGCAGCCGCCCAGACCCGCGGGAATCCTGGCCCGCTGGCAGCGGCACTGCGGAGAGAGGAGTGCGGGGCTGAGCTGCTTCTCGGAGCCCGAGCGCCTCCCGGAGCCCGCAAGCCCGCCGCCGCGTCTGACCGCCCCGGCGGGAGCCGAGCGGGAATTCGGCTCGCTTGGAGTGTGGGACCCGCCGGGCTCGGAGTCTCCGCACGGGGGGGAATGCGGGGCCCACGCAGCCAGGACTGGAGGGGGTGCGGTCCCGGTGCCACCCCCGCGCCACTCCCCACGTGGCGGCCCCGGGGTGTGAGTGTGTACGCGGACTGTAGGGGGGCCGTGAATGAAGCCCCAGCGGCCAATCAGCACGGCCGGCGCACGGGACCCCGGGAGCGAGGCCCAATGGTGAGCTCCGGGCGGCAGGGCCGGGCAGCAGGCGGGCGCGGGG